CCCCACACAGGGCCAGCCCCGCAAAGACACCGCCCAACCCCGCCCCGCTGCACATAGACCACGCCCTCCACGGACCCCGCCCCTCTCCATAGGTCACGTCTCGCATAGACCCCGCCCCTCACACTCAAGTCCCACTCCATTGGCCCGCCTCTCGCAGGCCCGGCCCAGTCTTTCTTTCCCCACAGGCCCCTCCCAGCTCATAGCCCCGCCTCCTATGCCCAGCCATTCCCCTTCAGGCCCCACGAGCCGCGGCCCCGCCCCACCCCGCCCACCGTCCGCTGCACCCGCACGAAGCTAGAGCAGGCGGTGGCACGGCGGTGACTCGGGGTGGTTCGGCATCCTGGTCCCCAAGCTCGGCTCAGTAGCCGCCTTTGTGCATTGGGTCCCGGGGCTCTCCCGTGGAAAACCGGCCTGTTGTCGGCCTCTGTGCCTTGCTAAATAGGCGGCTCAGTTAGACCCGCCCAGGCTGAGGGGCGGGGCGGTAGCTCACGCACGCTTAACTCCTGCACCTGTAGTGCTGCACACCTTGTCCCGATCGGCAGCGAACCTGCAGAAATGACTACGTACCCCAGAGCTGCCTGAAAGCGGATCTTTATAAAGCTACAATTTGGGGAAGTTTAGTCAAGACTTATCCTGTGTCCTCTACAGCATAGGGCAAGACGGTAAATGCAGAGATTTTAATACATATATAGACTAGTTTGTTTAAGTTTACTTTACCCTATAAGTATGATTTCTAATAAACTAGTCGCTGAGTTAAAGGAATAGTTTAGGCCTGGACCAGAAGGTGGAGGAACCTGGTTTAGTCGGCCATCCGCATTGACATGGAATACTGTTTTTGAAAGGCAGTCTTCATATGTAGCACAGGCTGGCCTTAAATGGGGCTATCCTGCCTCTACCTCTCTAGTGCCAGAATTACAGGAATGGATTATGTCTGATAAAGGAATATCTTCAGCTATAACAGTCTTTAATCTTCCGGCCCATTTGGGTTTTAATTTTTCACTTATATGTATCTCACTATTCACTTTTATAATTTTGTTCCTCCTAACAGAAAAAAACTTGCAATAGGTTACATACAATTTAATCAATTTACCTAAATACTAGAAGTAACATTTGCAGATATTTACTCTTGCTATATACATTAGTTTGACTTTGAGACAGAGTCTCACTGTGCAGTCCTGGAGGGCCTGGAACTCACTATGCAGACCAAGGTGGCCTCACTCTCATAGAGATCTGCCTGCCTCTACCCACTGGGTGCTAAGATTAAAGGTGTGTGCCACCAAGTCCACTGGCTCTCATACATTGTTTAATTACCCATATTTTCTGTATCAGAAGATCTTTCTGGGAAAAGAAATTTTTAAAAACTTGTTTTCCTTATTTTTTTTATATTTTCTTAACTCTTCTTCACACTGCATAAATTTGAAATTATTCACACTTTCAAATATATTTCCCTGTATACTAATTTTTCCTTTATATTTTATTTTTCCACCTATTAGAGGTGAAGTATCTATTAAGTTCAAAGCAAACTGGCTAAATATAGTCTCACTTTCTAATTTCTTTATTTGAAAGCACATTTTTCATTCCAAATCATTTCTTAGATTGTTTTTGTTCCATATTCAGGGTTATAAACCTCAGCAAATATGGTTGAAAACATGCTCATCATACATACTTTAAAAATGTATATTTATTTTAATGTTTTAAGATTTATGCACTGAAAAGTTATATTTCTTTTTATTTTAGTCATTTATGTATAAAATAAGTTTTTATCTGGTTAGGAACGCACCTCCGACCAAAAGATTAACCCCACAAACAAAGGTACTAAAAAGCACAAATAAAAATTCAGACTAGAGTGTTAAAAATGGTTTGTTTTCTTCTTTGGCCAAGGAAAAGATTTCTACCTCTTTGGCAGAAAAAAATATCCATTTCTACCTAAATCCCAATTTCAGTCATTTCAGCAGACAGAGGCCAAAAACATCAATATCTGAGATTTTAGAGTGCTTAAATAAGATGCTTTGAAAATGTGGAGGACTCCTGCCAGTACTCGGAAGTAGATCCTTGGGTTTGCTACAAAGCCAGGTTAAGGACTTGGGTATCTTCAGATTACGCACAACTTTGAAGGTTACGCTTGCTGCGGCTTCCTTACCAGATGACACGGTCTTTACTGCACATATCCTAGACAGCTCCTGTTTGGCTCCCATTGAGTGTCAAGAAGGCACACATTGCAGGGATCCCAAGTGTGGGAGGCAGTAACTGATCACAGCACAGAACAAATCCACAAGTATCTAGCCACACTGTGCGCATGCGTGCGAGAGAGAAAGAGAGAGAGAGAGAGAGAGAGAGAGAGAGAGAGAGAGAGAGAGAGAGAGGAGCACCAGCCACTCCCTTAGAGATATATTTTGAGTTTTGAGATAGCTCACCATCCTAGAAAGAGAAGTGCTTTCATCTGATAGAGCTAGGGAAGAAGTTGTCGTCCCCCCCGCCCCCCGCCGTGGCCTTTCCCATTTCCCCACAAATGTAAAGAACTCTAAGAAGATTATGCCACGCCCCACTCAATAGCGCAGAAGCTGAAAGCAATGACGGTGCCACGCCCATCCCACGTGAGCTTCAATGTTGCTATTAGTACAGGTATGGCTTACACAAACATGGGGCATGTTGGTTATGCTCACTGAGCTTAACAGAAATGAAGAGCATAGAACAGATTTTTACCATTTAAGAACATGCTGGCTCACACCTAGAATTCCAGCACGCCAAAGCTCAAAGACAGGAGAATTAACTGAGAATCTGGGACCAGTCTGGACCTCAAAGGACCAAGACAAAGTGACTGGAACTCAGTAATGGGACATCTTGTGGCTGTCCTTGGGAGTGCCTTTTGGAGGAACGTCTGTTTGAGCTTTACATATGAAAGGCACTTATTGCCTGCCCTGTTCTAGAAAATATACCTGAAGTAGCCTTTGTTTAGAAAATATAAGAGGTACAGGTGTTTTCCCTCAAAGGAGAGGAGAAACCCCAGATAACTTGTGTTTTGCAGAATGCTGGCCCAAGGGAATGAAGCCCTTGTAGCTATGGTTCAGCCTCTGATTGCAAAGTTTTGCCTTTATTCTCTCTGGGTTTCAAGACAAAGCATAAATTGTCAGTAGACCCCAGCGTTACACCTACAATAGACTTAGTCTCACGAATTTAAAACGTCTACCCTTGTCCAACTTTCAGAGGCAGAAAGGAACTTTTAAAGAGCAAGTTAGGGTCCTCCAACAATATGTCAGGCATTGAACTTGCCTGCAATTTTAATGATCTTCTAATTTCAGCCTTGAAGTCTTCCTCCACCTTTCAAAGTGTCTCCTGTGCTCATAAGCGTTCGCTGAACCACACGGTAAATATCTGAGAACCTTGGAAACCGACTTAGCAACTAATGACCTTCAGGAGTCCTTATATATGGCCTGGGCCATATGTTCATATACAGTCATAGCGATAATCACACGGAGTTACACCAATTTGAAACTACTGTTGAGTGCCATCCACCAAGGTGAACTTCTGTAACTTTATTATGTCTGCTACACATCCTCCAGTGAGATGGCAACATTGGCTAAATTAATCACTTCATTAGCTTGCATAAAATTTGTTAACTTGAGCATTCCCAGGGAAATGAGAGCCGCTGTTTAATCACTTGTCCTCAGTCTGGCTGCGCTCCCAGCAGCACACCTGACTTTTCTTTCCCCAGACTGCTCGTGTCTGCTGAGCCACATTGATAACTTCAGCCAATGTGATAACATTGATATATTGATAGCTTGCCCTTCCTCAGAAGACGAATGTCATGGGCCAGGAAGCACAAAGGTAAACTGCGGAAGTCACAGATCTAATTAGACATTCGCAAGGGCTGGAGAGATGGCTCGGAGGTCAAGAGTTAAGAGTGCTTGCGGAGAACCAGAGTTCGGTTTCTAGCACCTACCTTGGTTGGCCCATAACCTTCAGTTCCCAGTTGTTCCTACTCCTCTGGTCTCTGGGGACACCCGCAGTCACAAGCACATACCTACTTGTGTGCACATGCATACACATACACACACACACACAATCACACAGTTAAAAAATAAAAGTAAAGAAAGCAGACAATTTCCTAAGGCTTTGGGTCCCCACAGCCTCTGTTCTCCCCAGTACTGAGAGCTCATGGAAGCCAACTGTGAGGAGATGCAGAAGACAGAGAGAGCCTCCAACACCACAGGAGGCCTGCCGTGGTGTCTGCCCGAGAGCTGGGTTCCTCTTTGAAGTTAGGCCACAATGTTTGCCACAAAGCTGTAATTCATATTTCATAGCAAGTCAACTGGGGTAGGTACCTGTACTTTTGATTAACCCAATATATTCTACCATCCTTCTTTTAAGGGGGGTTAATTTTTTTTTTTTTAATTTTCATTGAATGTTGCCTCAGCTTGTTCTGGTCTGAAGACCGCTTCTGGCAGAAAAAATGTAAGGGAAATTCCAAGTCAACATCGAGTTGGTTAGGCACTGTCCAGTCAGTGGTGGCTGCGATGCTGGAATCATGGAAAATATCTTACAAAGTAAATGAAAAGATTCCCATTCTTCAATAGGGAGGCAAAACTGGCAGTGCCCGCCCCCCCTCTCCCCCAGCTACAGGGTTTCCTAGGTAGATGCCAAGATGCGCCCTACCTCCTGCAGTGACAGTCTTTAGGCAATCCCCTTGATGGACCTTATTGGCCACATTAGAATGGGAGAGCTTGCGAGTACATCGGCTCCAGGGTTTTCCACCGTGGGAAGGCTCACATTCTTAGAGCCATCACTAAGAAAAGAGAGGCCCAGGCGGTCCAACATCCCGGGATACAGTGAGGTCCCAATGTCACCACCTCTATGAACTGCACCAAGGACAATGACAAGATTGTCCAGCCAAGCCTGTGAAGCCTCAGGAACTCCAGGGTTAACAAAATGGTCTCAGCGTCAAGCCTGTACCCTGCCTGGGTGGTGTGAGAGGCCACCGAGTGACCCACAAACGCAGGCTGAACATAATAATCCAGACTCTGGAACGGAAGATGCTCCAAACGTGGAAAGTGCTCTGACGATGGCACAAATGAGAACCCCCACTCGTGACGTCACAGGGCGGGCGACGGCCACAGTCCAACATCGCCGGGAACAGGGAATGACATCACAGGCAGCTATCGGGACAACGTGTGTGAAACAGCTGCATTTTCTGTTTACGTTGTTGGTTACTTTTCTTGTTGCCACACGAATTAGCTGTCCAAAGCAGCTTTAGCAAGTCTGATGGTAAGTTTCCCCGTCGACGTGTAGAAAGGCCTGGGAGGTGAGCCCCCAGTTTTGACTGGGGGGCGGTATTTTGATTATGTTAATTGATGTGGGGTATGTGCCCACTGCGGGTGGCATGCACTTCCTGATTGGAACCCTGAACTGTATAACCGGAGCCCACGAGCTGGGCGCATATTAAGTGTTATGCAAATGAACGCAATAGCAAAATAGTCCTGTCTCCTCAGCTAATAGAAAGTCCGTCGACAACTTGGCATTTCCTAAGATTAAATTACTTTCAATGAAGAAGGTTAAAATCACCTAATTTTTAAACGTTGGGTGTTGGTTGGAGTGATTTCCATCAAACAAGAAAGCCAAATTCTTAATTTGTGTTGTTAAAAATTAAACTATGTGTGCCGCAACCTATCTTAAGAAGATTTTTTTTCAAAGGTAATTTGCTCTATGACGTAATCGTTGGCACTGGTGTATCTTCCTCAGAGACGTTTGCTGTTTGATATGATCTTGGTCCTGTGGGCCTGTATTATAGCGCGTGGTAGTTTGATTTGGCGGAGTTTCAAGTGAAATGAATGAAGAGTATTTTATTCTTTATATGCCTTCATTATTTGCTTCCGGAAGATCTTAGCAAAGTCACTTGCACAAGCGGCTGGCACTTTCTGTGATTGATAAGATACCAGCTGTGCTTTGCACCGTCCACACAGCAGCACTGACCAGAAACTCGCCCAGAGTTCCTGACCGGCCAGAAGAACAAGGTGTTACCACCAGATAAGGCAAACCTGGGCTGCAAGAGAAAACACAGCAATCAAAGCTTGACAAAGCAGAAACCAAAAGTTCACTGCAGGGAACTGTCCTAATTTGCTTCCTGATGCTGTGGTAAACACTGACTAAAAGCAGCATTGAGAGGGGAGGCTTTATTGAGCTTACAGTTCACAGCCCATCCCAAAGGGAAGCCAGGGAAGGAAACCTAGAGGCAGAAGTTGAAGCAGAATGTCAGAGAACAGTTTACCAACTTGATCCCCAGTTTTATCCAGCCCCCCCCTCTCTCTCTCTCTCCTCTCTCTCATATCTCAAACAAGTCTTTTTAAAAATGTATATAAGCCAGGTGGTGACGGCACATGCCTTTAATCCTAGCACTCAGGAAGTAGAGGCAGGGAGAATTTTGTGAGTTCCAGATCAGCCTGGTCTTCAGAGCAAGCTCCAGGACAGGCTCCAAAACTATAGAGAAACCCTGCCTCAAAAAACCAAACCCCAAGAAACAAAACTGTGTATGACTGTTTGCCTGTGTGTATGTCTGTGCACCACGTGCACACAGGACTCTGGTAGGAAGGCAGAAGAGGACATCGGAACCCCTGGGACTGTGGGTGCTGCCGATTGTACTTGGGTCCTCTAGAAGAGCAGGCAATGCTCTTAACCTCTGAGCCACCTCTCCAGCCCTCAGTTAACTTTCTCATATAGCACAGGTCCAGCTGCTCATAGTGGCCTGGGCCCACGCCCTGCAGTTATGGCCCCAGGCCAGTCTGACGGAGGCATTTCTTCAGCTGAGGTTCCTTCTTCCCAGGTATGTGGATAGGATGACAAAGATCAGCCATCACAGGAGCTACCAGAATAAGGGTCCATCAAGGGGATTTCAGTCACAGAAGCCTGACGGTTTTCAGGCGGTCTCTCTGATTCTGCACTGTTCTGGGCAACAAGGAAGTTTTCGGGCTCCTCTGCGGGGCTTGGAAACAGCAATGGCCTCAGGTAAGGATGGGACAGTGACCTCGGGAACTAGACGTGAAGAGAAGCCTGGCTAGCTGCCAACGGGAAATGGTTACAGCTGTAGGACACTAAACCCTCCCGGTCACAAGACGGAAGTCTGGAAGAGAAACTGAAGTCCCCCAGCGAGCACCGGGATTGGGACTTAGTGACACCTTAAACCTAGGGTCACCTGATAGAGTCACCCAAGTCTGACTACGTTTCTGCTGCACAGAAACCGAGGGGGTGATAAGCGGAAGTTGAGATCCCGAGTCTGTGATAACTCGCTTGCTGGCCGCAGAAAACTGATAGATCTCAGAACCACAAGGCCACCCCAGAAATTCTCAGATATGTGAGAGGCCTTGTCTGGGGGTGAGCCAAAGCCATTAGAGTTTTAAGAATAATAGACAAGGCTTAGAACCTTGGCATGGTTACTAGAAACACAGATTAAAAACAAATACACGCAAATAACAACTTGGCAAGAGAGGGCTCTGGAGGCCTGGAGACCTGAGGAGGAGTGTGTTATCAGAACAGGAAGACTGGACGTTTTTTGCTTCTTGTTGGGGGCAGGCTTAGGGACATAAATTCCCGAGGCTATTTAGAATATGCAGTTTTGACTTGGTGAGCTTAGACGCGGAGCAGAGGAGATTGCTAAGGGCCAAAGGTGAAGCCTTGCCCTTTGTTTCAGTAGAGAGTGCAGCTCAAGAAAGGACTGTGAAACGCTAACAGAGAAGTCACAGCTTGGGGATTCCCCAGCTTCAGAACTGAGAAGCAGACAAAGACTGAGCATGCGCAGACAAAGACTGATGGACCCTTTGCTGAAACACCAGAAAGAGCAAAACCTGGGTGGTTTCAACACCGAAGACCGCAGGTAGCCTCCTGCCCAACCTGAGCATCCCTAGTGGCAGAGGCCATAAAAGAGGTGTCTGTCTATTTTGTGTCTCATGGGGGAATCCACGGGAAGCCCAAAGGGTGCTTGAGAATGTTATCTCCAGGAAACCGGTCACCTGGCCTGAAAGGAACAGAGGTTTTATAAAATAGCACAGACACACCAGAACCACTCAGCTACGGATATCAATCACCTTTCATACAAGAGGAAGACGGTCAGAGTGAAGATTCCGGAGGACCAGGACCAAAACCACAAAGGATGTTCCCAGACTTTTCCCAGATGGGTTGAAAACCATTCGAGGTTTTCCATTTTTGGATGAGAATGTTTATAACTCTATTTTCCCCTACTTCCTCTCCTCTTTCTCCTTCTCATCTCCCTCCTTCCCTCCCTCCCTTCCCAAATCTCATTTTCTTTCATTCTCTCTCCTTCTTTTCTCTCTCTCTGACTCTCTTCTTCTTCTTCTTCTTCTTCTTCTTCTTCTTCTTCTTCTTCTTCTTCTTCTTCTTCTTCTTCTTCTTCTTCTTCTTCTTCTTCTTCTTCGACAAGCTCTTACTATGTAGCCAAGCCTCGAACTCACCAAGTTCCTCCAGCCTCAGTCTTTGGGATTATAGGTGGGTGCCACCATGCCCAGCTTGAATCAGTTTTTAACTGCCCTATAACAACCTGCCACACCTATAGTACTTCAAAAACAGTTGAGGAGAGTGTCCTGTAGCTCTGGGGATCCACTGCCTTTGTGTGGCCTCCAAGGGCATCTGCATACACGGAGCATACACTCACCAAGACATATGCACACACAAACATGAAAAAAAAATAAATCATAAAAGAAAAAAAAGAAGCATTTTTTTTCTCTCTTGATATCGAGAACGTAAGGCACTGTCTCTGTTGCAGGCACCACCTTGATCTTGTGTGCCTCGTCCCACGGACTGGCTTTCTTTTACTACACTGTGAAATACATAAAAATGCAGAAAGTGGAACTTTTGAACCCCACCACTAAAATATGCATATGTGCATAAAAGGGCATATTATTAATTCATATATGCATGCATAAAGGGTTGACTTTCTAACTCTCTGTGTAACTGTCCCTGATGCTGCTGGCTGCAATAGAGCCTTGTGACTTCTGAGCTTGATTCGACCGAGTGCATTCTCAGCCTGAGCATGCTTCACACACACACACACACACACACACACACACAGTCTCTGCCTCTCAGGAACACTGGTGCCTTCTCATGTCGTTCATCTTTCCTCTGACTTTAGCTCCGACTTCCTCTGATGGTTTTCTTATCTGCTTTTTCTGTCGTTAGAGAGCAGAAGGGTACACACCTCTGACACTCCCGTTGTTAATACCCGGTGTCCTTATGGAAGGCACCCTTTCCCACACTCTCAAATGCGTGCATCTGGATCCCTGATGTCCAGGTGTATTTGGAGATAAGGCCGTAGGTGGTGATCCAAGTCAAATGCGTTTATAAGCTCTGATTCAGTAGGACTGAAGCCGCAAAAGAAGAGGCAGGAATGCTTGCGTGGAGGAAATGCTAAGCAAGGGTGCAGGTTAAGAGGGCCACGGGCAAACCAAAATTAGAGACCTGGCCAGATTCCAAGACTGCTGGTGCCTAAGCCTTAGAGTTCTGGTTTTCAGAGCCGCAAAAAGATGCATTTCTGTAGGTCACATCATCGTTTGCTGCTTGCCCTGGTGGCAGTTCTAGCAGTGGAATTCAGGGACTGCGCAGCTTCCTGCACAGTTCATATGCTGTCGCCCAGTGACAGAATAAAATCCAAACAAAATCAGCAGACACTCACAAGCACAGTTGGACGTGTGATGGTGAGATTGCAGACTTTTCTCCTTAACTTAAAAACTTGGGAAAGGCCAAGCTCAATGTCTCTGACTTTCGAGTTCTCCTAAGTTTAGCATCTAACTTCTCCCCTACGCTCCTGATAAAATCTGCTGTTAGCGGTCTCTAAAGACCTGTGCCAATTTTCAGACCTCCCCCAGCTTGTCTTGATGTCTCAAACAATGCCTTTATATTAGCTACTTTCCTGGTTATAACACTATACCCGACCAAAGCAACTTAAGGAAGCAATGGTTTGT